ACGCATTTCATTTTCATGAATTGAGTCAATTAGTGAATTCGCTAGATTGTGGCCAACTGATCTCACTTAAATTAGGTAGGAAAATAAAATAAAAAAGTGCATTGAATATATTTAAATGGCCTGTCCACCTCCATTTTATTTAATTTTCCCCCATACCGTCTGGGTCTATTCGTGCTGACGGAAGACCTATGCCCGGAAAACAAGGCACTGCCATTGGTAGTGTTACATCGTAAATATTTTAGAATAAGTGCGACTCAAAAACTTTTTGTTAGTAAATTAGTCTTGATGATGTTAAAACTTTTGAAAAATAATATAGTTTAATGCATTTCATATTTAGGTGCAATCAATATAGCGTACGGTGACATTGAAACAGTCGATTCAGGAGGTACTAGTCTTCCTTCATTCTCCTCGGAATCTTCGTCCACATTCTATTCTATACGATCTGGCCGAATTCACAAATTGTGTACTCGTATAAATCCAAGACTACGTAAATAGGGTCGAGACAGCGGGCAAAATGTCACACAAGTTTAATACATACATAAGTGAAAAAGAAAAATAGATGCCGACAATACAATTATTTTTATAACATTGAATGAAAAATTGTGCCATGGTCTTCGATTTATTTTCTGCATGTATTTTTGATGCACATTTTCAAACGTATGTCGACAACATACTCATTTGGTTGTCCCGAGTGTAATATATTGGGATTGATGTCATTGGCAACGTAGTCTGAATATAACTTTCCTGCGAGAAAGTGTTTCTTGCATGCAAATCTCTGTATAACATCACTGGATAACCTCTTGCTGAGCGAATCGAAGACGCCATCGAATACGTTTGGTCATTTGGTGGTCCTATACTGTCTTGGTATGGTTCATAATTAGTTTCGGAAGAAGTTTCAGGTTTAAATGCATTGTTGTCTAATGCTAATCTATATTCTTGTTCATCTGAATAATCGCAACATAAAAAATGAACAGGTATTAAAAAAAACATATTACTAAAGATTAGATGTCATCCTTGTTAGTTTTATGAATTTAATTTAAGTAAAATCAAAATTGATATTTCATAGAAATGTAATACCTGATTTAATAGCTGGGAGGTTGAGTAGAATATCAGCTTGAATTGGCATTGGTCAAAATAATTACTTTTTTAATTTGGAGGATTGTAAAATCTGCATTGTTTTAGTGCAGTCTTTTTTGTTCCACGATACACGGGCAATTCGGAACAGTTAACATCAAAGTAAGGTAATACATACCAATGTATTCATATTCGTTCTCTATGTATGTGTATGTATTATCCAGATCGACTGCTCTTACTGTTACTGCCTCTTGTACTTCTGATTCTCTTCGCCTATCTTCTTCTATCTGGTTAAATCTTGCCTAGATAAATATTAATTGATTTAAGTTTTTACCCAAGGAGTTAGATATTGACAAAGTAGACCTTGGGATCGTTTGGATAACCTGTTGTTGTGGTTCTTGTCGTTGTTGGGAATGGAATAAATTCCTACAACCAAGGTAATAATACGCGTTTGTCTGCTACCCATTGTTCAGTTACACAGCAGTAGTATCACATTCCCATATATTTGAGCATTGCTCTCTTGTTATTTCATAAAATTGGTCTGCGCAGCAATCTTACAAAAAAGAAACTGAAATTCAATGAATTATCGAATCTTTGAACGGAAACTACTTTTTATGCGTATATTTTTGCTAGCCTTTTATGCAAGAGATATACTAAACGAAGTTGTCAACAATTTAACCTGTGCTTCTCGAGCTCTTCGCTCATCTCTCTTCTCATTTTTATTTGGTGTAAATATACAGAATATCAACAATATTATTAGAAGTATAAGGAATATTCCCCCTATCGTACGGCCTACTACAGCAGCATAGGGAAAATCTGAAAAAAAAACTAAAATATTAAAAATGGTTAATAATTCAAGGATCTCAATGCATACTAAACAAGACAGTAAGGATCTGATATATAGACCTGAAGTACGTGAATCGGTACGGAAACGCCTAGAATCACCGAGTTTGATGAAAATATCGATGGCAGGCAATACCGAAACGTACGAGCACTATGAAAGAAAAAGTGCTTTTTTAAATTAAATAAAACACCCAAATTTAAGTAATAGCCTTCTAGCGACGAATTCTTTCAGCACATTGAAATACTGAAAATCGTAAATGGAATGGTCCATTACAAATTTTTTGCACAAAATAAATATGGAATAACTTAGAATGGTAATCTCCACCATATCGACAGCGCATTTATATTAGATCCAATGGCCACGTAATGGACATATGGATCGTTTTATTATTATGTTGTTGTTCTTGTCGGTATTTTGCTTCCTATCGTTATAAAAAAATCGAATTTTCCCCTGGAAAAGAAGACCAGTACTTTTATTTATATTAATAATATTTCTGGGATTCGTTTTTTGTGTGCAATGACATCACCAAATTGTGCGCACCTTGTGCGGATCTCGTGCTTGGCAAGAGTGGGAATTTTTTATGGGAAATGGTAGATTGTGGGACATTAACTTTGGTGATACAGAAGTGACTCGCATCAGTTGGTATTTCAATTCACGTTGAAACTGAATCAAGAAGAATGAATCATCGTCACGGGACCCATAAAAACTATAACAATCCCTGTATCGTTACCCCGATACTGGTAACTTACCGCATATGATTTTGGGAATTATTTTATGGGGAATTGTAGACGCGGTACCTGATCTGGTAATACAGAAGTGACTCGGATCTTTTGGTATTTTAACGTTAAGTTACCTCATATGATTTTCGGGGAATTGGTGAACACGATTTCAGAAGTAAATTCATGGCCATCACAACTCTGTAATTAATTATAACCCAAAATATGGACTTTTTCCATAATACAACAAATTCAAATTTATGAAGCGTTATATGGCGTAGCAAATCTGTGTTTAAATTTTATTAGTTACTTACAATAAACGCTCACTGTGAACTTTATAGAATCTGAATAAGATTTTGAGTTTCCGGGAATATAAAAATTGCAAGAATATTGACTTCCATCAGTATCAGCATTTGCAGTGATTGAAATTGAGACGTGAATGTCATATGTTCCTTTGGCATTCAATATGCCTGATTCATTCTTTAACGGTACATTTCCTTAAATACATGTATACATTTAGTTATCCGACAAAACACATCATAAATTATATTCAATATTTTTGTCTTACGGGTTTTAGCAAGTATTGAGATTCAGTTTTAATAAAGTTTCTCAAACTGGGTCCACTGGGTTGTGGTAGCCACAGGCAAGGGCTTTTACACAATATCAGTTTTAATGGTACATTAATTAACAGTGCGAGGAAACTTTTCTTAGTTTAATTCTTTGACCGTTTTGCATTTATTCTTATACTTTGGTTCGTTGGTCTTTTGTTAATAAACGTTTGGAATAGAATAAACCAATTGTGGATATTCGGAGGAAATGATTATTTTTATCTTTAACATACAGTTCGCAGTGGGCAATAAGGGGATGGAGACATAACTTTGTTCATCGATAAAATGACTAATATTCGACTAGTCTGTTAAAAATAATAAATTAAAACATCAAAATAAGTTACAACCTCGATACCAAGCAAGCGTGGCTGTTGGTCCAGTGTCGAGTGCCAAACAAGTTAATTCCTGACTTTTTCCGTTGCCAATAACTAAACTGCTTGAAGTTATCCCGGTTACAGAATATTTGCTCGGTATAACTGAAATATAATAATTGAACGTATTTATCAACAAGAATAATTCGATTCGTATAACAAACATTTTCGAAATAACACGTTGTTTCGTTTGATCGCTTTAATATATGATACACCCAAATTTGTATTCGCCATGTGCCTTCTCGACACGCTAAAACGAAATGTACAATTTCATCTGATTGTGTAAGATTCGACAAAAAAGCTCATAGGCAATGTGTTAAATAAATATGCGTGTAATTTCTATTCAGAGTCCAGTAGTCCACCGTATTATTAGAAGCTTATAAATATACGATCTGTCCTTGATGAAATGTCTTTCTATAGAAGCTTTCAATCGGACAGTAAAACTGGTTTGTATGATGCAAGATACAAACTTTGACATTCGATAATCGAGTTGCCTCTCTGCCTGCTTGCCCAAAATCGAACGCACTTAAAAACTGATCATCAATTACCGCGACAGCAGCAGGAGAAAGGTTGAAACAGAGAACATATATATATACGCTACACCGATTCCACCTACACGAATAATTAATCATGAGACATCGTAACTGAAATCAAGTAGCCTAAATAAAACAAACATATACCCAAAACATTAAGTTTGACATATTTCCTGTATGATGAACCGGTTTCCATGGAAACTGCATCGCTGTTGACATCACAAAAATACTCCGTTGCATTGTCAGCAACTGTTGGTGTGATTGAGAAAGTCGCTTCCATACCACTGAGTTCATTGCTTGAGCCCACAATAGTTGTTGTAGAAGTGGTCACCAGATTTCCATTTTTATTATCGAACCATCTTACATTAGGCTGAGGTTTTCCATTGTATGAAGTACAAATCAAGGTATTACTTCTATCCGAGTATACATCAATAATTCCATTATTTTCCTCATCTATATATGGGTACGTTGGTACAACTGAAATAACAGAACACACTATTTATTTATTACACACTATTTTTACGTAAAAAATATATTAATAATAAAGCTTGTACTGCTAAAACGTAATAATGTTAACATGGCTAGTCTCGGTGACTCCCAATGAACCGTTTGACCATTAGTGTTTTTTAACCTCGGAGGTTGAAAATATTTTTTATATTTACATGAAAATTCCGGATTAAATTCCTTGGCATAGCAAAGCCATCAAATTATCCTTACGGATTAAAGATAACATTCCCATTGAGTGACCTGTGTGCAAATACATTCACTCACGAGAGCAATGCTGTTTGAAAAACTACTTCTTTAATAATCACTAATGTTAACTTAGAATAAGAATGTATAATAAATTTACTTACCATTGACAGTTAAAACGGCGGTGTTCGAAAATTTGGTTGTTGCACAATCAGAAACTAGACAATAATACGAATCTTCATCTTCTAGAGAAGTGCTTTGTATGTTGAGATTATAATTTCCGCCGATTCCTGTGCCCATTGAATATCTTGGGAAAGCTGTTTACAAAAGTTGTTACAAAAATATTATTTTGCAAAAATTTCGTCTCGTTCAAAATAACATCTATTAAGTTGTACACACATATATAGATGTGGATTTCCTGTGCGATTCAAATGCTATGGTTGTGATTTCAATGCGAAAAGTCTCGAATATGCCGCATAACAAATTTATTCAGAGATGAACTGCTGGCTAATATTGAGAATTCATATCATTTATGAATAATGATAATCGGTGTCAACTTATTTATAAGATACTGATGAGGTGAGATAATGTTCTTATCTTACACTTTACATTTGGATTAAGTTATTTTTAAAGTAGATAACTAATTAAAAAATTCTGCGGAATATACTTGAACATTTCTGGTTGCTAAAAGTAACTATAACTCACGTGGGATATCGGGATCCACCCCAAGAGGTACGCCCCCCTTAATCCATTGAACTTCTTCCCCCATTGTGTCCGACACTGTACACCTGAGACTAATATCTGTATTGAATAAAACTGTCTTGGTGGCAGGTCCCTCTATATTTACGCAACTGCAATCATCTTCGGTGTTAGCATTGCAGGTGAAATTTGCATCTGGTAAATTCAAATTATAATAAATGAAATTCTCACCTGTTAAAATAGAATTAGCATTATGCTAAAATAATCCGATTTGAGTCTTTCCTATGAAACTATGGCTATTACCATAGTCAAAAACACGGAACCAAAAAAGTGTTTAGTATAGGAATATATAAATATACAGGTTTACAAATCCTTACCAGATCACGTGTTGTTAATACTTGAATTAGTGATTTTCAAACGGTGTCTGGCGGAGCAATGGTGTCCCGTAAAGGACGTTCGGGTGTATCGCGTCAAATTGCTGTTTCACATTTTTTTGAATATTGTTATATTTTTTTTAAGGAAAATTAATCGAAAAATATAAATAAATTCAATCAAATGACCACGTATTTGGTTTTTGGATGAGTCTATTTCGCAATTTAAAGGTTGCTGGTGGGGGAACTAGCGTTCTTGTAAAAAATATTTCAAAGTAAGCGGTAAGCGCAATGAATGAGTATTACAAAATTAAAGTTATAATACACTATATGCCCCAAAGTGTAAAAAGACTCCCATGCTGCCACAATTACTCGAGATTTTTACCGAGAAAAATTCCTTGTGAACATGTTTTTGAACAGAGGTATTTAATTACGGAGGGGCGACACCTTGGGCCGAAAATCAGAAAGGTGTATCGTATGTTTTTCTGTAACTACAATCGCCAGCACCTGTCAACCTGTCACATTCCCCTAGCGCTAGCGTACTCGTGATTATTGAACCAAAAAGTTTGCTATTACTCTCTCGCTGACCTGACTTGATTTATTACAGTAAATTGTCAACAGCTATTTACCGGTATGTATATTGTAAAGATAAAATCTTAGACAACTCAAATATCTGATCTAAGCGCTGTCAGTTGAAGTTCGAATACCCAATATTATATGTGCTCTTCACAGTTTTGGTGGAAGATTCGCGACCGTGTTTGACTAAATTTATAACATAAATATAATATCATATCAATTGTCTCGAACGAGCAAGGACGATTTAAAAAGGAATTAATAAGTTATGAAGACTTACCTGCCCATCTGTATAAAATACAGGTGAAAACCGCCACTGTTAAATATCGTCTGAACATGATCCGAACTTCTATTTAAATATATATGCTACATATTCGTAATTATTCCGCCATTTTCAAGTGATTCCTTTCTTGAAATTATTTACAACTAAAACGCAGAAAAAAATGTCATTTTACACAATGGTTGAAATTTTAATTTCCACAACATCTGAATCACTGGGTGAATATCACCTTCGCCATATCAAATAGCTACCCCTAGTCTGGGATTTGTTAGATAAGTACCTCCTGACTGATCGCGACTTTATGTTCGACTTCTAACTCAAATTACCTTCAATATTACCGACATACTTCAAACAATATTTTCTGATATTATATTCGACCGATGTGAAGGTAGTTACAAACTGGGCTAAAACAATAGCATATATGTCTCTGTCACACAATATTTGTGAAATGCCTCGCCAATCCTGACTTGATTATAAGAACACTTGAATTAAATATATAAAGGAACAATATTTGTCAAAGACTGGTAAAACAATCATTTAGCATTAATCGTTAACTCGAAGATCCTTATCTCTGTCTCAGCCATATATCCAATCTCCTAGACTTATTGTCAAGTAAAACACATTTGCAAATTAAACATTGCTGACTGTTTTAGTGTTCAGCGCCTTTGTTTGTGTCATTTTATAAATTTCATTTTTTTGAAGCAATGGCGGATTAATTACCGACCATTTATATTTACTTGGTGGGCATACGTTGTTAATGACTGAAGTTTGACTTTGACCCTAGAATTTCAACTTATTCTTAAGACACTCGACGCACAGCAAATATGTTTACTTGTGTGTAGCGCCATCCACCCTTAAACAAAGACTTCTGATAATAGAATTTGAAATTCTGTCCCAAGTTCGTGGACTTTGACACGTGAAACTATACAATAGTTATCATTCCTTCTGATTGGCTTTGCATCAGATATTTTGAAAATGGGCTGTTTTCTGATGGTCTGGCCCAACTGTCTCCTCGCGGAGTTGATACGCTTAGAATCTCTAATTCATCCAACAGATCGACAGGAGAACCACGCTCTGATCGTTGTAAGGATGACGATATAGAAAATATGTCTCCTCCTGGTAGTTCAGGTTCCTCGATGTCTTCCTCATCCATTGACGTTGTACACGAAGATTCCGAGGATTCTGAGAAGGGAGGAAGGCTAGTGCTTCCTGAATGTGCCGTTCCAATGTCATCGTATGCTATATTGATTGCACCTAAATATGAAATGCATTAGAACTGCATCATTTTTCATCATCAATGTTATAACATAATATAAAACAGCCTTCAATGTCAAACCTATATTTCTTTAATGTTATATTTTGTTAACGTGGGCAAGCAGCATGGAGAATATTAACAAAAAGAGGTGGTCAGGTCAATTTAATTGATTCAATGCATCTTCTTATTCTCAAAATTTAGTTACGTAAGTCCAGTCAACAACTTCAATATAAAGAAAAGCGTTTGCTTGCCCGCCATAGACCAATAGGGATATTGGAAGACTCTATTCTCAGCCTAAAATGACAGTTCGTGGGACAACTCAAATAAGGCCCAGCCAACATTGTGGTGACAACTAATTCTCTGAATTTGATCTGATATATATACTAAATTGCTCAAATTAACTCAATCGAAGAAAAATAAACTACACAGATTTGTATGGTCAAGCTAGATTAAATTTAATATACTGTACCATGTAGCGAATCTTCTGACACAGGCTCAACTAAATCCAGACTGATTTCTTTTTTCATTGAAAGTTGAGAACTAGTCTCTTCGCTAGTTGATGAAGTGCTTTCTGTATCAGTTGGTGGTGAAATTTCCAATTGTGGTACCACCTGTAATCAGATAACAAAAAAGCATTTGTTACTGAAACTTTGACTAGAATGGATGGGATTTTCGACACCAGTAAATTTTGGGTGAAACAATGGGTCTCCGGAATCCCAAGCTATATAAGAAAAATTTTAAAATATAAAGTTTTAAAAATCGATGATAAGTACGGACGGACTACTTTTTCAATAAGTGCAATTTGACTAACTCTTAATCAAAACTGAATGTCAATATCTACTATTATGTGCTAATATGTGGTTAGTTATAACTTATAAGCAATAGTGAAAGTGCGGCGATTTGTTATCAAAATCAATGAACAAAGATGGTGTTATGGGTGCAACTCTTAATACTGATCAGTGATAATTATTTGAAGAAGGCTACCGTATTTTCATCTGTGACATTCTTCTTTGTTTTTCTTTTCTTGCAAAGAATGTATACAAGCAGTAACAACAGCAGAATTATTACAGCAATAGCAACTATAATTCCAATGATAGCACCTGTGCCCAAAGGAGCTGAATAGAATAGATCAACTTGAATATGATATATTTACTGTGTGTCTAAGGACTCTAGAGATTGTATAGAGTCATAGGCCATAACTACGGTTTATGGGTCTACAGTTCTGCATAGTATTTTGAGTACTCCTTATTGGCGCTGAAGATACCCAAAAAGTACGGTGATGATGTGATATGTATTCGATAGTAGGTGTTGTCAGTTGTTATAACTGGTTAAGTAACCCAAAATATATTTAGCATGGAAATAACCCGCTTACTTGTAACCTCCAAAATAAATGAAGACGTGCTTGATACCGCTAGAGCTTCGTTCCACACAGCACACGTAAATCGTATGTTGTCATTGGTAATGTTTCCTACCATCCGCATATAGGCTGTAACGTTACGTCTTCCGTACGAGTCGGACGGGCTGGTTTCAACATCGACGTTCGTGGTCAGAGCGATGCCACCTGAATGATTGTTACATTTACTTATATCAGTAATTTAATACTACGTTAGACAAAGAAATTCTATAGTTGCCTGTTGCTATTTGGTATTGTTTTGTAATGTATAAAGAAAAGCATGACACCCAGGCTAACGTATCTAAAACTCTGTCACACATAACGTCACATAAAACTCTATGGAAATTCTTTCATTGATAATTTATTTTGTACCTCGATACCATGTTATGTTGGGAGTAGGTTTTCCGTTTTCCGCTCTACATGTTATGGTAATTGGTTCTCCTTCTGCAACCGTTATTGTTCCTATCGAGGGATCGTAATCTTCAATAGTTGGTCCAATCGGTGGTACTGAGATAATAGTAAAACTTATTGAATACTCGAAATTAGCACAAAAACAATAAATTTCTAGAATTTTAACGATATTTTGTAGATTTCTTGCTTGTTTAAAACTTCAATATTTGCTAAAATGTAAGTTGAATCGAGTCTCAAACTTGTGAACTGTTCATATTTAAATGAATACGTTTTTTGATGCATGCGTATGCAAAATTTTCATTCGGACAATTCTTAAATCTAGATTTTTCCCAATTTTGAATATCTGAATAATCTTTTGTACAAGGTCTTATAGGTATTTCGACTCGTACTTACCTAATACAACCAAAGTTATATCTTTCTTCTGTGCCGGTATAACAGCAGGATCTTCAGCTATCAATGCGTCGTTATTCATAATACAGGTATAAACTTCTCTATCATCTGCCAGATTTGGAGTCAGTGATAAAGTTGCACTGCTGTTATATAAAGATGATTTCGGTGGATATATTTGTTTTTCAACGCCAACGATGATTTGATCGTTACCTGGACAATAACATTGAGACGTAATTTTCATCTAGCTAGCACAATGAAAGTGCTTCATCGATAATTCTTTTGCCTCAGACAGTGCACATGTTTTGTAGTACAGTTTAATCGACAATCCTTACCTTTAAACCATGATACATCAGCTGCTGGCTTAGCATTCCATGCTTCGCATCTGATCAAGATAGTCTCTTCAACGATGACCCTATATTCTCCATCAGGTGCTTCGTCAATTACAATAGGGCCATGAGGTGGAACTGAAAAATCATAAAATAAAAAGACATAAGTCGGCATTAGCTATTCGGGTGCTAAGGAGTGTATAAACAGGGTTAATATAAATTATGAAATGCAGACATGGGTAAAACTTCAAAATTTTTTTAAAATAATAATTAATTCAGAATAAATTAATTTCAGTAGTTGAAAAAGGGTCTACTTTATTTATATTCAGTCGAATCGAGTCGACTTTTTTGATTTAAAAAATTCATTCTAAATTTAATATTGTTTTTTTTCGCGAGTACCAAAAGGCTACACTCACCCAATACAACGAGCATGGCATTAGAAGATTGAACATTACAATTAGTAACTTGACATTGATAAACATCTTCATCTTCCAGCTGTACGTTTGTTATTGTGAGATCATAGTTTCCAGATAGACTGTTTCCAGTGTTGGCATCCATTGAATATCTTGGGTATCCTGATTGATAAGACATGATTTTTAAAAAGATTTGGAGCAAATGGCTTCTCAGTAAGAAAAGCTTTACAAAATTTCCAACTGTAAAATATATGAGTACCGGGAATAGTTGAAACTGTGCCAAGAGCAAATCCTCCCTTTGTCCATTGCACTTCTTCACCAATCACCCCCTCGACTCTACAGATCAGATTCACAGAGTTTTCAAAAACCGCGCTTGTATCTATCGGATTCGACGAAACTTTCACACAATTACAATTTCCAGGGTCAGAAAGACTGCACAAAATTTCCGAACCTGGATATCCACCGCATATAAAATATGTAATAAAGAGAAAATTGATTTATCATTTGATTATTTAATATTATCTATAGTGAGACATGTTTATTTAAGGCCTCCTCCTTAAACTTAGTTATAACCCGTGTTACATTGAATATGATACTAGATCATAAATATACACAGGCGTTTCCAAAAATTGAGCACACGTACTCATTCTTATCCCTCTTAATAAAATGAGCTGCACATACAATAGATGACTGCTGCTTGAAAACAATATAATTCGAACCCCAAGAATTTGTTATTCAGAAGATTTATAGAGTATTATGATTTTTTATGGAAATTTGAAAAAGTATTCAACTGTTTGATAATATATATGCCAAAGAGCGATAATTATCAGCTGTATTTCATGTGAGTAATATCAATATAAATCAACTGAATCATATTAAAAATTGTAAATTATCTTACCTATTTCATTCCATATATTTATATAGATTACAACAAAATACAATATATACTTTCTCAGCATCTTCAACCATGCAACCTAAAATCTGTAGTTTTAATCAGCAATGAAGATGCCGAGAACAAATAGGTAACCAAGAATACTTCGTTTCAAATCGGAGCTGTAAACAGGCCTCTCTGTGAAGATTGGCTATTGACTGCTGATGACGCATGGTTGACAAATTACGAACATGTTTAAATCTGTGTATCGCCCAGAACATGTATTTATTATTTACTTACATATAGTATCACTAGGTTTTTACGACTCAATGATTTTCGCTTGTTTCAGTTTATGTCAAACTTTTCGATATCAGCCCGAAGTAAAGATCTTTAGTAAATCTGAGTCTGTTTATTGCAATTTAAACTAAAAATATGTTAGCAAAATGTAGTAATATTGTTCGCTCCTTACTAATATTTGGTTAAGTTATCCACTACTGATATTTGCATAGTGATATGGACCTTAGTGGAAGACTGAAAGTATGCATACCTTGAGATTGAACTCCTGCGCTGCCTATCGAACCTGACAGCGTTGTGCGCTTTAAGCGTTATTAGAAAACAGGAATAGAAATATGGCCCTGATTGTTATTTGAATACCCTCATCCGATCAAGGCTTACTGGACTACCATAAAGACGGTGGACTTGATCTACAGTTTTTCATATTTTTCATGTCACATTTTCAATAGGAAAAATCGCTGGACAATAACTTGCTTATACGTCTAGAACTACTGTTTTCAACTTTCCGAAACAGCAAAAGTTCGCTTGGCGAACGCTTAATATTCACCACTCCTGCTTCGAAAATTAACGACAATAAGAGTAATAATAAGTAATAAGTATAATAAGTAATAAGTATAAGAATAATAAGTAAAACCCGATTCTGTTATTAAATGTCATTTATGTGACAAATTTTCAGTGTTCGATGTGAAATTCACTTTGAGATATCCTGAATAAAAACAGCATCAACTGCGCACTTGTTGGATGACATCAAATATACGATTTTGCAATAAAATCGTTAACAATTTACTTCGACCGAAAACTGTTTCTGAAATTATCAGTGTCAAATTTTCATAATCAGCAATCTTGGTACTTCAACTATTTTCCACATTTATTGGGTTCTTACCAATACAGCTGATGATATTCTTTTGAATTAAAACGTCACAGAAGATAAATTTGCGATGACGTAATAATTTTTGAAACAATTGTACATTATAAAGATGAGGTATTGTATCTGAGATGTCAGTTAACGGTTGAAATAAATCATAAACGTTAACCATCTAAAATCGGTTAACCGATTAACCATTCCCAGCCCTAAAATACCAGTAGATTGGGCCCAATGCAACTAGCTTTGCTCAACCCTTTGAAACTGGTAATAAAGCACATCAAGTAAATTTTTTAATCCCAATCAATTTATTTTTAAAAGTATACTCATACTAATATAAATCAATTCAGTAATTATAATAAAATATTGAAGAAAGAATTTAGAAAATGTAACTATAAGTATCTCCCAAACAAACGAATTAATACAATATGGAAGCACCACAACAAAATATTATTTAAACTAAACTGTTCAGTCACAAACATTGCAAAGAATCCAGTTATAAGGACGAACAATACCGGGCTGCTTGTCTTGCACCACGTTTCAAAAGCCTGCCCTAATTGGTAAAACAGGTATAGGTTTTCTGTAATAAATAATGATATCAAAAATAATTTCGCACACAGATGATATGAAGATGAAATTCTGTGGCGTGGCTTAGTAATGGTGCCACTCCACGAGGCAGATACGCTTGTTAGATAAATTATTATTCGAGTGGTAGTAATTCACAATGATGTGGATTTTGTGACATAAATATTAAACATGAATTACATCTTGATTAAGAAAATGTATTTTTGATTGTGCTCAAGGTAACGTAACAATGATAATATCACATGAGAAATGGTTCGATTATAAGGTGTTACTACAACATTCGAAGCGCCCGGGATAAATTGTATTTATCAACAATAGATAATAGTTGCAGGCTTTGTGTTATCGCACTAAAAGTTCACATCCGGTCATACCCAATCTATGTGGATACTGCTCAAGAGTTTCAGAATGAGACATTTTCTTTTTGCTCGAAATAATTAATTTTGTGCAGTTGCCGGCATTTTAGAGTAAATTGGATTATCCTATATCGACTCGTATTATCTTAAACAAGTTTCAACAGGGGATAGAGACAAAATGCAACCCAACCAATACTAAAGTGAATATCCACTTATTAGAAGAACTACTTTCTGAATCTGAAAAAACTCAGCTACAGAATGCCGCGATCATTATCTGGTGAAAACCAATTGTTGGATCAGCATGTATGGTTTCATAATTCATGCAATGGAAATAAATAGTAGAAAATATCAGCTTGATGGCGATACCGCGCGACAAAAAAGTAACATGACAGTGCGACTAAAAATTTTAAGAAATTAGTCAAATAAAATGTGGCTATTTTTTTGTATTTTTCTCAAAAATAAAAATGATGAAAATCAAAATAAGATATTTTCAACATGATGTGATAAATATTGTCAGCAGCACCTTTGTAAAACGTAATTGTATCATTAAACATGTGAACAAAATTATTATTTAAACGAGCCATAAGACAATGGTATAGATTAGAATATCGGACAATGGTTTATTGTAAAAAAATATTTATCGAATATTTTAACAGTGTTGCCTGTTATGCGATAATATTCTAACTGAATTGCATTTACTTATACCTCAGAATGGGAGACTGTTTACGATTTTCAACTGTTTCCATCGTGTTATGCTGCTAAATATTTTAGGATATTAAGCACACACACATTCACAGTTCTAACGTACAAAATTCATTTAGTTGTAAAAGGATACTGTACCGTGAAAAACGATAATGATATTCGAACAGTGCAAAAGAAGGTATGAAAGAAGAACAACTAAAAAGTTAGGATCCATGGAACAGTATTATTTGTAGAAAACTTGACCAATGACAGGTCTTCATCAACACACGCGTTTATTTAAAACGAAAAAATGAGGCATCGTAAAAACCAATTTTTTCTCATTTTCAGTTTATTCTTTCGTTCACGTAGTTACTGTCTGTGTCGTAACCGCATACGTCATAATTGAAACATTCTTCTCTCTTCGTATTAATTACATCAATATTTCCATACGCGACCCATTGCTGCGTAAGATAGGGATTCTGATCATACGTGCGTTGCCATTCTCGCCGTCATCGGCTTATTCAAAACTTCTGACGACCTTGAAGCCAAACTCATTCTAGATGAGAGTTGGCTCATTTTAGTAGGGTTTTCGTATTGATCATGAGTGGCAACTGATGATGGCGGTTGTTCTAAAGATGATTGGGAAGACGTGCGTCGAATCGGAGCTTGCCCTTGAGAGTTCATAGGAACCGTATACATTGCTCTGTCGCCGAGTACAGACACCGGTGTACTGCGTCCTAAAAGTTGTGCATAGGCAGGTGAAGGAGTCACACTTCTGTGTGAGCTTATGACAGAGGGAGCATTTGATCCTGCTCGAGGACGTTGAACTCCAAATTGCGCTGGGCCCCTGTATCCGGAAGACGAAGATGGAGGTCCTTGATGGTGTTGGTAGTACGTCGCAGGATATTGGTGTTGCATACCGTACATATTTACAGGAGACATCGCCCTTCCTGTACCCATCGGGGGTAACTCCACTACCCCACTGGGTGTAAATTGATGCATTGGGTATTGGGTGTAAGGCTGCATTGGCTGCAAGTTGTACTTCAGGTACCCACCGTCTGAAGCTACGTCACTGCTTCCATATGGTGATGCAGCACGCTCGAATGCACCCATGGGTGATGACGTTATTGGCATTGACGTCACAATTCCACCCCTCGAGTAATCATCGCGTGTGCTTCGTGCCGGAGAAGATTCGGGTGACTGTTTTTCATGCCTGTTCCAGGAGTTTGCTTCTAGAAATAATAGAGGGATTATGATAAACAATAAATAAGTAATAATTGTTTAATTTAATAAATATCTCCATGTCCAATGAAATGATTACCGATGAAATATAGGAATTTTACCTTCAGTGTGATAACCGTCGTCATTATGTGCAGAGCTACGATACTCATCCAATGCTAAAGAGGGCCTAACAACATCCCGTGAGGACAAAGATGCTGAAGTTGAAGGATTGTCGCTGTCTGCATCTGGGCTTATTAATTTGACACCGGCTGGTCCGAGTATATCCATTCTGCTATCCTGTGAAATAAGTGAGATAATGAGAATAATGACCACAAGATGAAGTATTTTGAGTAACAAACTTTCAGAATAACCAATTTACCTTTTTGTGGCCGTCTGTTCGTTCTACTTGTAGTGATTCTTTTTCCGGTGGGAAAGTGGTCGATTTTTGTTGTCTTTTGCTTCGTACGCAACATATTGCAACGATGATGACAATTATGAGCAACAAAACGGCTCCAACGATAGCTCCAGCAATAGGAACCATCATAGGCAAAGACTCCACAGATTTTTCTGAAATTCAAAACGAAATCATTTTAGAATAATAGTATATGTGGTATTATCATAATATGTTCTATGTAAATTATGTATTTATAGTGGAAAATTTATATGTCGTCTTGACTTTCTTACCTTCCATAGTAATGGTTGTTGATCCAGTACCATATGAGTTATGGACAGTGCAGTTATATTTGATTAAATCCTCTGGCTTAACGTCGTAGATAACGAGAGACGCCGTTGACTGGTCATAATTCATAATTCCGGCGAATTTGACTTGATTCTTATAAACAATCGTGTCGTTATTCTGCAATTCCTCATGCTTTTCACGTTGCCAACTCCATGTCTATTATATGAATAAAAAATTATTATGTGGTTATGTAGCTGCGAGAAAAGTTTCCATAATATAGTCTTTGTGTTTATTTTAAATCTATGGTTCGTCGTTTTTCTTGAACGGAGCACTTACCACGTGTGATACGCCTGGCGTACTCCCCAAGGAACAGTTGACGATCGCGCGCTCGCCGAGTGAGGCTTCTTGCACTGTGGGATTTATAAAGATGGGTGGTCCTAGTACGTCTAAGCGAGCTGAAACTGATTTGCTTGCGACCTGAATAAAATAGAATGTACTATTATAATTTTATGCATGTAACTTATTTGAACAATAACACAAACTGCCCATTTACGCTTTACGCTATATTCAAAAAAATCACAAAAACGTCATACATACCCCTTGTGCGTCAGCCACGCATACGTAAGTTCCAGCTGCAGATTGGTCGATTACGTCAATGATTAAATCTTCACCTTGAACGACCGCGACGTCCATATTCCCTCTTTTGTACCAAGCAACTAGGGCGGGTGGATTTGAATCCCATGAGCAAGTCATGTTCACAGTGGTGCTCATATTTGTAATGACGTTTTCAGGGGCAATTACAAGTCTTGGTGCATCTGTTAAAACGAATATATATATTCTTGTAAATTAACAAGTTTCGCCACAAGAAGTTATAAAGTTAAAGATATGGTATTATGTATATAAAATGTAAAATATCGTTCTGTATCGTCCAAATGTCACAAATTTATACAAAAGATGCCAAAATCAAATATATATACCTTTATATATACTTACATAAAACGTTAAGAGAAACGCTGCTCTTTCCAGATTGCCCGACATCGCTGACAGCTCGGCATCCAACAATTGCTTCATTCAATGTGCGATTCACATTGTACATTGCTAATGTCGAACCTGTCCTCCCTTCCAGTGTTTCGCCGTTCAAATACCAACTGCAAAAAAGAAACAGTTCACCAAAATTTAATAAGAGTTAGTGACAGTAAAAACCCGATATACCAATTGAAACTTAAGATGTGGTCCATAGTCCATGGCATAGATATAGATAGAACATACGATCCACAATATACATAAATTAAAATCTTACATGTATGATTTTGCAGGAGGTTTTGATGAGTACGAATCACACCTTGCAAATAGGTTTCCACCTTCTTTCACAGTAGATGACGATATTGTCAGTGAAGCCACAGGTGGTTCTGTGATGACAAAATTTCAAAATAAGCTTTTGGCTATAAAACAAGCATAACTACAGAAAGGTAAAACAAGTAGAGGTAATAGAGACTTACTTTGAACGTTTAATTTGACAGTTTTAGACAAAACTTCTCCGCTAAATCCAAAGTCTTGAAATCTTGGATCGGCACTCATGAGGCATTCATAACGATGCCCGTCTTCCAATTCTGTGGGCCATAGGCGCAAGGTGGCGCTACTGTTTCGCAATTTTTGTTCGGCCTCGGTTTCGGCATAAGTGACGTTTTCTGTTATTTTCGCGCCATCTAAAGTATGAAAATAAATCATTTAGTAATTTAAAATTAATGAAATGAACTATATCACACGTCAATCTTAGTTAAATTGAAGATTTTCAAATTTAAGTCGGTTGCTTAATTAAGTGCCCTAAATTTATTATCACTCTTCTACATGAATAGTCCATCAAACTAACTATATTTTATTCAGCACACAGAAAATAGTTGAGGTTCCATGCACACGGAGCCAGATGCCTTTGCGATGAAGGCATTGTTCAAACACGCGGATGGCGTAACAATGCCTTTCGCCATGGGACGACAGGCTATTGTAATCATATTGCGGTAAAACCATGAAACGGAACGACAGCTGCGTCGGGGATCATCAGGTAACCCTACAGGCCGACACAGACAAACTTTCAGTCATTCCCAGGCACCAAAAAAGCACAACTAAAGACCTCTGTTGCTCTCGTGTTGGTGTTTCCCGCTAAATAACTTCGTAATGTGTTTACCCCCATACAAAGAAAAAATTTATCGCAATTTGAAGTCAAATTTTAGAGAGCAGAAATGACATATATATCAGATATAAGAATCAAAAGTTTTACCTTTGTACCAAGCCAGCTTTCCCGCGGGTTTTCCACCCCAGGATCGACAAGTGATCAAGTTATCGGAGTGAGCAAGTACATCAATGACGTCATCATCCCGTACGTCTTCTACCATTGGTCCCTTCGGAGGAACTAAATGGAAAATTGAAAACGGAATATTAAGTAGTTTGAAAAGAGACACTCGCACGCGAATTATCAGCTGTAGCTCCTATTTACGCATAAAAAGGGCACGGAATAAACATTAATTTCGAAACAATTACATTGAGTTTTTGTGAAGGAGTATGTAATATGCAGTGAAAAGTAGAATAACATCAATGTGTAGGCCAGTCCCCGTGTCCATGGGGAATCAAAACTATGAAGAAGGTAAAATGCAAAATAAATACAATCCGTCTGGTTCAGTCATTTTAATTTCAAAGCAAAGGTGTAACCCTAACCAAGCGTGTAATTTAAGCCGGCTATCGAAAACCTATATCGATATCACACCCAGCCTGTTAATCGAGTGTTAATTAGGTCGCTGGTCCATTTCCCCCCCTTGGGGATTCTCCGGAGTGACCAGTGTCGTTTTCTCTACCTTTTCTTTTACTTATACCATATTGTATATCAAAATATAAAACAATACTAAGACTTTGAAGATATTTTAAGGTTCACAAAGTTCATTGAGCTAGGATGTGATCAAATTTCGCGTCCCACTTTATTTTAATCTTGAAATAGATATGTCCATATTTTCGTCGCAGGGTGGACTTTAAATAGAACCTATCTGACCCATTTTATGGCGCAAGGAGTATTTCATGTTTGTTGCTTATTTGTGACGAAGGTTGCGAGGCATTAAAAAGAAAAAAGGCAACGTCAATCAAAAGTACTATGGACGCTATATATACAACCACGTAATTGTATTAATTTTTTCAAATAATTTCAGATTCTCAAGATACACAATTTTGGGTTTTCCCGTAGTATGTGTACCAGGTTAGGGTAGGCCATAATGTTCTTCCGATTTTCTATATTTTAGTTCTATTACGAGTTCGGGGACTGTCTGTGTTAGCCAAGTGAATATAATATACCCCTGCCCATAGGTTTCAGTCCCTTTACACAACTTGATGTAAAGTAGGCGAACTTTTGGAGCGCCAATTTTTTTACGTAAGGAACAGTTGTTTATATCCACGTAACCTGATAACCCCTAGACAGTTTTAATTATTGATTGATATGTGTGTAATTAATTAAACATCATTTTAGTTTTCGTTTTAATTTAACGAACAAACAAAACTGCGTAGATAAGTCGTTTTCTTATCGATTGCCAGACATCATATTGTAATGAATTACAAAAGAGGTTAAGATTAAAATTAAACCTAACTTCAAATACTATACAAAATTCATTAAGTGAAATTTAGCAGTAATTTAATAAAGATCGATGATGTATCGATAAAATGAATTTTTTGGCAAAATATAAGGTAGTACTGAGAACTTGGTTAGTATACTTTCGCCTTTTTTCCTGGTATATGAGTATGTGCCAGTAAAATTCCCTTAAATGAAAATTCATTTACTATTCTATGTGGAAAATATATTAACCGTCCGACTTATTGAAAATGGAAATACCTTTACTATGGTGTTATTGAAAGTAAATTACAAATGTATTTCGATATTGTGTGCGTACTTGGCGTTGTACCGTTCTTCAATTACAACGTACCTGTTATTACGGAAGTTAATGATAAGGTAAACGACGGTAGAAAATGTGTAATAACGTTTGTGCGGTGGGATGCGAACAATGGTTTACACATGAATATTATTGGTTTCCAAATATCCAGGCATATTGAAAATGCTTGAAGTGGTAACACGTCTCAAAACATACCTATATACAAACTGTTTTATTACTTTGAAATTGAATTTGAATGGAGCGCTATCACTGAAGACGATTGGATCGCCATCCACGATACAGGCTGTTCATGATGACGATTTTTTGCGTGCCGCAAATTAATTGAAGTAGATGAACTCCAAATTTTAATATATAATAATATATTTTGTTCATGAACATTGCAATTATAGGCCAAGAACGTGGTAAATTCTCCTTTATGAGGAAAAAACACTCAAACCGGGTTTTGAAGTCGAATTGTCAGTTGGTTTTACACGGTTGCGACCAATCAACTACAATTACGGCGCCAATTTTGCCACACAGGTTCGCTTTGTCTGTTATTAACAGATCGTGATGTATAAAACACAATAATTATACAATATGAAACGACGAAATACTTTGTAACGCGACATGACGTTTTATAATGATGCCAATTATAACGATTCGATTTCGCAAAACTGAATTTATTGACAAAGAACGGTCGCACATTTGAAGAGCAAAATATGGAATAATATATAAATTTTACAACTCCTTTATTGAGTTATTTGATTCATTTCGCAGTAAATTATTTGTATACACCTGCCAATTTAAATGCATGTTAAATCTCTATCAGAGCATGGCCGTCATCTAAGAAAGTACAGTAAAGTATACATACCTAGAACGGTTACTGTTGCTTTCGTTCGCATCCTGTCAACTCTGACCTGACATTCATATTCGCCTTCATATTTTAAAGTGACGTTTTGAATCTGGAGATTGTACTCGCCAATTGAAACATCTCCAACCATGGATAGGCGACTGAAGGCTGAATTTGAAAATAATATTTTATTCGAATGCACACCGAATTAGATGTTTCAAATTAAAAAAAAATACTCCCATATAATGAAGTGGTAAAATTATATTCAGTTACCTGGTATTTCTGGATCATAACCAAGAGCGAAACCCCCTTTCGTCCATTGCACAATGTCGTTCTCGATAGGGAGGTTTTCGACAACACATCTCAAGATGACGTCACGTCCAACGACTGTCGTGACGTCACTGGGATGTTCGACAATAATTGGAGCACTGTTAGCATTGACGAATCCTGGAATATTATAACAAAAATTAATTCAAATTTTGAAATGTAATAAATAAATCACAATGCGTTTGTTTGTTCTTTCATATCGGCATAGTAAAATTTATAAATTTATCATTTTTAAATCGTAGCTACATTTACCAATTCTACCAACATAAAAGCAAGCGCACTTGAATTATTAACTTCCACTCATTTGTAAATTTGACTATCTTGGTATAATCTACACTACACTCCTACCAACTTAGTGGCTGCATAATTCATATTGTGTCGTTTTGTACACTCAGTAAGTAACTGTGTATGACAAATGGGTTTTCTGGCTGGAGATTTTGCCACAAATTAAAACTAGAGCAAAATAATTCCAATTCCTCAAAATTATTTTTTCAATTTTTTGAGAACATTTTTAATTATATCTCATCAACCGTCGTATTCTTGCACTTCCGCACGACATGCAACGGCATTTTTAAAAACAGAAATTCAAAACCGTATACATTATTTATAAGTTTAAAATGCGGCCCTTGATACCAGTCAATTGCATGGGTACATTATCGAAGCTCAACGCTAACGTAAACAGAAAACTATCCAAACATTTTGGTCTATAATGGTGTAATAAAGATGAAACTAGGCTTGGAAGGCAATTTATCCGGGGAACAAACCTGACGAATAAACATTTCATTTCTAAGCAAGTGGTACCACAACTATTTCGTTGGAAAAATAATTATTTCAGCATACGATATGTGCATCATAGGATACAATAATGGTTTCCTTGAATGACAGGAGTTTACTGTGAGTGTGTGACTGAATGAATGTATCCAAATAGGTCGGAGATATATGTACGCAAATAGGAATTTATTGAATTTATATTTTTCCATTAATAAATTTCTATCAGTCAGTTACTGTATAAAAAGATGTGATATATCAATTCATTGCTTACAATTTCAAATTGTATCAAGCCCTATCAGTGCGAAAGATTATTATATTACGTGGAAACAAAGAACCGTCTATACTAGCATATATCGTCAAATCTAATTATAATTATCTGTGATCCCATAATAGTGAAATAGCGAAAAGAAAACGCAGTTATCAATACCTTTCCAGCGATACAAAAGAAAGTTCACAAAGCCTACCTATAAACAAAACTCCAAAGACGCACAGCACAGTGAAACCGGATGACGACATAATGGTTGAATATCTCCACGCTTTCGTCTTCTATTTCAAACGTCTTCAATTATGTCCACATTCGTGTATTGTTGGAGGATGTTTATAGTAATCTTGGATAGTTATGTTGCTTTACGTTACACACAGTGCGTTGACTACGAGACTGTTTCTTTCCCTTATATATATATATTCACATAAACTAGATGATGTCCGTTCTCAAACGTGTACTTTACTTTTCCCAGCTGGATTGAAATTCCTAAACCCTTGAATAAACGGTGAACGAGACACGTGCGAAAGTCTTTTGTCCAATATCTTCGCAAGCCTAAACGCCCCAGTGGGCTGCGATAGTCGTGTTTGTTTTCTTGTTATTGTTAGTATAACTCACGGGTGTTTGAGCTGTAATATACACAAAAGAAAAAACACAATTATAAACTATAAGTTCAAAGTAAACAAAAGGTCTGTAGTAAACTCTGCGTGAATGCAGTATTTGTTCAAATGCTGCTAAATGATAGTTTTCGCGATTTTCAAATAAAATACAGTCGATGTTCAAAATAGTGATATCAATATCCTAATTTTCCAGGTATTTTAGATGTCACATTCCGACCTTACCACCAACAGTACAACGGTACCAAGAGTAAGTTGTTGTCGGTAACTTTACAGCAGTCTAGCTACTTTTATGGTTTCACTTTCTCTCCCAGCCTGGTTCCAGATATCATCCTACTCCGAATAAAATTTTGCCGTTAGCTACACTAAAATATCAAATTCCTCAGAATTCAAACTTTTTATCGGAATTTAACACCATACTATCATATTATATATCAAACATGAACTTAACGATACGCCTGCCAATCATCAATTGAACTGGCGCATTCTTATCAATCAATAACCAAAAATAATTGCCTCATACAGTAATATCAAATATCTTCCTGTGTAACTTACAAAGTAACTCTGATAATATTTGTACCAGACACTTGGAATGAAATGCGGTGAGAATGAACGCATTTTTAAAATTTGTAACAAATTATATCACAGCCTACTTGGTATAGCTTCTAATTACTACTTAAGAGGCCAATCAAAATGTATGGTTGAAACCTCCTATAGCCTATGCACGAAAATTGTATAGTTACGACTAAGTATATAAAATCTTGGCATCAATGAAATTTCAAGCTTTTATCTTTGAGCACAATCCAAATCTGGAATATCACAAAATCGTATTGAAGGTTGAAGCGAAGCAGTCGTTCACTTTATTTTTAACACCATATAGGATTCTGATAATAATCTAAGAATATACTTTGTAACTTATTTTCCGAGCAACAGCAATTGAATATCTTAACTTTGCTGTTATTCTACTTGTGTGGCCAATTTTTAGTTATTTATGAGCCACTGTATATTTAAGGAAATAAAAATGTACTGAAAATAGATCACATATTGATAATAAACGAGCGTCATTGTTTGGGTCAAATCTTTGTACAGATTTTGAAACTAAGTAAAATATAAAGTGGTTTTACTCCCGACTTTGTTTTAATCCTGATCTTCACTTGTAAACAAATATAAATGGTAACTAAGAACGCGATAACATAATTATCTGGAGGTGTCAACGTGTGAGGTTCATTTCATGGTAATTTGTCACAAACGCAAATATTTATTTGTTTGTATTCCGATTCGGCGATATTGAAAATACCGGAATTCAACCTTGTTATAAAACGCTGTGTTAGCAAGGAAACAGTTTACATTTGAACATTTGGTGTCTTTTTGCGGTCAAAGAGAATGGAGAACTAAAATTCAAATATGGAAAGCGAGAATAAATGAACCCGCAATGCAAAACCGCTTTGCATGCTTCACATATGGCTTTCAAACCACCAATGACACAAAATTTCGCTTGTATAAACTTCTATTGCGCCAAAGGGATTTCGAACTCGGTACATTAACTGTACAACGTGTAACATTTTTGAACTCATACAACGTCCAGTGCTTTACGTCTGCCCGTTTTCACCTTAAGTTTTGCCAGCTACCTATAAAGTCAGTTTAAATTCACCATATGATAATTTGATGGGAAGAATACAAAAAATAACAAATGTACCAACTGCCATGTTCCAAGCCAACAGTATAACATCAAGGAATGCTAAAAGCTTTGAACAAAATTTGCCGCGGTCAATCAAACAAGCGAATGAAGCTATTTGTCAGTCGTAGTCAAGCAAGGGGCAGACAAGAATAATTAGGTTTGTTCGAATCTTTTAGTAGCCTTCCTTGGCCTATAATGACGTTTTTGCGTATATTTTGTGGTGCAAAAGACGTGCGCAAATTGAAAAATTTTTCTTTTGCCAAGATGATGCAATTTGCTCTATTAATCATAATCGTAGAGAGGCAAACATGAGGCATGTGCAAGAAAATAAGATCAATTTTCTCTATAAGTACAAATAAACATATTAGACTTTCAGTATTTCTGCCACTGTCGGAGCAGGACTTAAATTACATATTATGCCAAACAACATCAAACAATTCAAATTCATATCAATGAAAAGGAACGGCACATGAATCAATTACGGTAATCGATGTATCAAGTATATCTTTATAAACTAATACCATGACAGCCTATCTCTATATTAGAAAAATAAATATTCAATCTATTAGGGTTTTAAAAGTAGCATGAAATTTGATAAAATCGCTAAATAATAATTGTCGTTTGACTTTGACAACCGAATTACATGAAAATAAACAATTTTAAAAAAAAGGGCGAGTCAGCAGACTCACTGCAAATAGACGGCTTATCAAGTTGAAAGGTGCCGCTGATAAGCAACGACAGGTCATGTAAAAATTTTATCGTCAGTTAAGTATGACCCTGTGCTCTAAACGGTCAATGTATAGACCATACTACTAGACAAAACTAAAAAAACATAACTAATCAGCATATCTGATTTGAATGTAATATTATTCGTAAATATATTATGTCTAACTGACTCACAAATGAAGCATGTTTTCGTTCATACGATTCCCAGGCTTGTATGTACGTAACCCCGCTAGAAAATCGAAAACGAGAAGGTACGTGCCACCCCGCGCAATTTCACTACAAATATTCCGAATCGACAGGCCTTTGCATCCGCCGACAAGAAAACTTTGCCCGAGGCCATTTTTAGGCCCGTGCCAACCCCTTGACGACGTCGTAACACTGGTAATTTGTCCTAATTAATGTTCTTTACGTTGACGTTTATTCCGGTGATCAAGGAAACTCTTCGTCCTGATTTGCGATGATTTGACATGCGCTGTTTACTGTATTTTCCGAGTGTCATGGATTGAATAAATTACAGCAAAGATAGGGTCAGCGAAAGATTTTGTAGAAATATTTTAAAGAAATCAATTATGTTTTTTACAAATTTTTGAAGTCGCCAAGTTGTGCCACAAAATAAGCACCGTGAATTAAAAAATCCTCATAACTCGTCCTTAGATATACCTCATAACTAGAAAGCTAGCTATTATATGGTTTACTCTAAAACTATAAAACGTATAATTATCAAGTCTACATTGATTATCACAAAACTGAAAACATTAAGCTACTTTTACTCATTTCCTGATTTGCTTTTACCGCCTGGTTTCAAATTATCTCCACCATAATCCAACTTGCGATCAGAAAACCTAGATTTTATCTAATAATCCATCTAACCCATGTAATAATCCAACCACAATCCAATTTACGGCAGAAAGGGGCTTACAAGTTGGTTTTTAACACAGAACTGACAACCTGATACTGAATTACTCAACCACAACTACTACTACCGGTATACTATTTACTGATTGAAATAGATACCGTCGTTACTAGCTAGAGATCGTGCGAACGTTTGAACACAACAGGTACGAAAATGATCGCCCTCTTCACACGACTTATCATACCGCCCGAAAAAGAGAGTCCCGGACGCCATTTCGAGAGCGACAAATATCAGCCATTGACAATTTGGCCACCTGACTGATATGATATTATATCAAATTAGGTTACCTTTTTTTCCCGAAACGGAAATATATTCAGTTATGAATTTAAATTAAAATCTAGGCTGTTTAACTGCATACCACTACGTTTGTTACAAATTCCATGCGTTTTACAAATAAATTCAATTAAAACTGCTTCCAAATATTCAACTCTTCGTATGATTTTTACAAGCCTAGATTGTAGGATCTATACAATTTCTCACCATCCATCACCACAGCTTTTAAAAATTTCACAACAAATACAAAGAAGTATCCATTAAGCCTTGAACAAATACCCAGTGAAAGGGTTTCCCGACAATTGTAAAACACGGGTAAGCACGAGCGTTGCCCCCTCGACAAAAAGGTGATAAAATTTTTCGATGTATCATAGAATCACTGTGCGATATTGCTCATTCACTGACTAACGCCCAGTGCAAACAAAATATAGACATTGCTTCCTCGCTATATCGGCTTAATAGTGATTGACTAATGTTAATACGGTTCTAAAATTGTGACGTCGCTATAGAAGAAACAGGTATCTGAGTGGGCTGAAAATAATTGGGTCGTAAAATATCCCTTTCTCAACAATGTAACCCTTCAACACGCAGTTTTGTTATTCTGTCACCAAATTTATACATGTTAGAAAGATAAAAATAGCGTTCAATATTTCAGTTATATATATATTGAATTAAGGCTATGCTTGCATATATAACAATAATACCATATTTCCAATTTTTTCCCTTGGTACACATCACTTACGTTGCCACAAAACTGATACACTAAAATTTTGCGACCGCCCTCTACTTTGAAAAGCAACAATACGATATACTGTTTCTGATGCGAACTTTTCCATAAACAAAAGAAAAGGCGTTCTGACCGCCATATCCTTCTTTCATACGGTGTATCTTTCTTCACTTCATAACAATGCACATCGCAAGGGCTAGAGCGACTTCCAATACATATTTTAATTATCATGAATTCAAAGAATACATTGTAAATTATGACAGCCATAAAACTTTAGTTCCGTGCCACTGCACACGGTGAGAAAATTAAATGAATCTAATAGGCTATAAAACCAATTGAAAACAAAAGGGATAACGTAGGCGTGGTCCAAATCACTCTCATTAAGCAATAGAATTTTTATAGGAAATAATGTCCGTTGCCAGAATTTCACAGCCTAGTCGTGAGAGTAATAGATTTATGACACTATCGATGGACTCGATTAATGATTGACCCGCTTCGTTGCGTTTTACGGGACCTACGACGCACTCATAACCATAAAACAAATATTAGAGGAGGCTCGCTAAAAGATAAGGTGGTCTAATTTATATCTAACAGACCGCCCGCTAGCGCGACTTGGCAGCGTCAGATAACCAAAAATTCATTTAGGTGTGTGCTCGTTTCGTAATTGCCCAACGATCAAACAAGTTGTTTCTTTA